TTGAAGTCATCATCCGGCACTATGTTCACTCTTACGTTGTAGCGCAGATCTTTTGGGCACGTTTTCTTTGATTATTATTTTCACACTCTACCATTTACATGTGACATCGTCTACTTACCTGAAACTTCCCTTAGGTAATTTATGAAGGTTCTGTATACTTTCTCTTCCTCTGCCCGGCTGTTACTGCCTTCTACAGAGAAATGCGCATGAAGCAGTTTGACAACACGGGGGTACATCAAAGGCCGCACTGCAGTTTTCCGCAGCAGAAATATGAAGCATGGTTTTCTATTGACCAGCTTTAACCAAGTGGAAATTATACATGTTACCGAGTATACATATACAGCTGATCAAACTAAAAAAAAATTCTATATTTTGAAGGAAAGCTAAAATCGTGATATCAAACTTCCCAAAAAGTTGACATGTGTACGTAACAAATTTTCTGGAGGTCTTCGTCCTTGAGTTAGCGCAAATCTTTGTAGCTACAGTAGCAAATGAGCTTGTCAACCTTACAACCTACCACATAAAGAAATACCCTTCGTTGATGTTTAATACGTCGTGACAATTTGTTATGAATATATGTACATAACAATGTTGAGTTTTATAAGGTTAAATANTATTTTGAAGGAAAGCTAAAATCATGATATCAAACTTCCCAAGAAGTTGACATGTGTACGTAACAAATTTTCTGGAGGTCTTTGTCCTTGAGTTAGCGCAAATCTTTGTAGCTACAGTAGTGAATGAGCTTGTCAACCTTACAACCTACCACATAAAGAAATACCCTTCGTTGACGTTTAATACGTCGTGACAATTTGTTATGAATATATGTACATAACAATGTTGAGTTTTATAAGGTTAAATATATGTACCTCAATTAGGCCAAATTTTGCCAGTCCTGATTGGAACTGTCTTTCCGACTCTCTTAGCGAAGCGTACTGTCCGTTAAGAAGCGTTTGGAGCTGTTCCTCTTTTAGAAAACAGGGCAACGGTCCACCCTGTAGCATACTGAACCCTGGAAGTGAAGAGAACATTCAGTCAACACTTATGTGGTTTTGATATGTTTTTAGTAATTTAACTGATGAACAATCATGGGACAAAATGCGAAAAATAAGGCTTAGTTAATGGTTTCTTTATTCCATTGGCAGCTGCGACTTGAAAATTTATCTACTTTTGTAGTTTGACACTTTTAGATCTTTCAGTTCCCCAGCTCATATATATTTGTAGCCTGAGACATTGAATACAACTCAAAAAATATGCAAATACTAGTAAAAAATCATACATGTCATAGTCATTCGTATTTACCGAATATTGGACCAGCTCCATAATAATAGTGCTGTCTTAAGGGTGCCACATCGTTCGTCAGTTCGTACTCTCCATCTTGACTTCCGGATTCTTGGAAGAGTTGTTCACGAACTTCTCTTGTGACAGCCCCCAAAAATTCTTTGCGAGGTCCTCCGTAATTGGCAGCCTCCTCGCCAATAAATGTCACTTCTAACGGGAAACTGATATCCTCTATGGGAGGCTCTGTGACA